ATGCCAAATAAATTAAAAAGGATAAAGGTGTCAAATCAACACTATCGTGTTCAGAAAGCATTATTTTATAGAAACTGACAAAAAAACAAAAACATACCGCTCGAAATTTTTCTAAAACACTCAAAAAGAAACAGACGAATATTTCACTTTTTCTCGCAAAAAAAGGAAAAGTGAAACAGTTAAATCGGCTACTAAAAACATTTAATAAAATTTACATCTGGTTATAGAAAGCCAAGAGACGTATATGAATTTAAATTTTAAAAAAATGTTAGCGCATGTTTACTATTTTTAATTTCGAAGGTCCTTTCGGTACCTGGTCCATTCGACCCCAGTCTCCCCTACTTGAATGTAATAAACAACATTTGGGTAAAAAGGTCAATAAAAGGTATATTACATTCTTCTAAAGTTCGGAGGATTCACACAAACATCGTATATGAATACGTGCTAAAAAGCTAGTAGGCAAGCAACAATGTTTTGAACTTTGTAAATAAGTGAAAATTAAATTTACTTGCAGTTTCGAATGCCAAGATCGTACTCAAATCAAACCGCAAGTCAAATCAAACTTCCGTCCTATGAAACTGGTATTTAAAATTCGCTGTTTAATCTGTGTGCATAGACGCTCACTTTTTTAAGAAATTATAGTTAGATCATAATTATGCCATCTAGCAACAATCAAACCATATCACAAAATCTCTAACGCAAACACAACATAATAAGAAAAAAACATTCATACTTCTACTTTTTTCTTATTTCAATCTCCGCGAATGAATAAAACAACATCACTCATAAACGTCATTTCTCTTCAATCATGTGCATATAAATATTTCTTTTCTCAAGCGTGGAAGTCGAATATATTTTATCTATCGCTACGGGTCTCGGCTTTTGCTAAAGTTTAATTTATTAAGAATAATAATAAAACCACTTTGATTATCGCACGCACGCACTCACGCACGCACGCAATTACTTTTTTTTATCGAAAATAATTTTATTTAGAAGTGTAATTAATAAATTTTATGGCAAAGATTTAATAAAAACTATCATACTGAATATCACTCTTTTTGTTTTCAAATACGTTTAGAAAATGTTTATTTATCACAGATAGGCCTACAACTTTTAATAAATTAGTCCTACTGATTTAACACAACACACAAAACAAAAGTCTCTTCATAGTTTGGCTAGTCCAGTAGGTATGTGAAAAGGCAAAAACTGCAAAATAGTGTATTTAATCAGCATCTTCTCACGATTCGTGACTCTGATTCTGTAGACGCATTCATAGTTATTGACAGTGTACTGGACTTTGGGCTATCAACAATAACCATGGAATAATTAGTTTGAATGTAAATGTATGCATACATACACTGATACAAACACACACATATACGTATATATATATGTATATACAAATAGATATATACAAATATATATATATATATATATATCATATCAAATAGATTTCATTTTGATATATTATTGAAATATAATACGACCATTGGTAGGTAAAAAAGATATATCATCGTTTTTTATCATCATCATCGGTAAATTAGTTCATATAAAAGTGTCGTTAACAAACCGATCAGTTCACTTATTTGAAAAGACATTTGCAATGGGGGTTTGGCAAACCCTTAACCTCAGGTTTTAATTTGGTTTGATTGGCGAATCTTCAGTAAAATAGCACAGCGGATCAAAATATTAATCGCAAATAATTAACATTGATTGCAAATCATTTAATTAAACAAGGTCAAAATATCAGATGTGATCTTTAAAAATAATTCATCAAACTATGTATTGTTGTGTACGTTCTATAGATGTAATGTGTGTGAACATGTTGTCCTCATAATTATAAATTTTGTCCATTGATTTGAATAATTCAAAAAATTATCCCCTTTTTTTACCATGAAATTGCCGGTGTGCATTCACATGCATACATGAGACACTACGAAATGACGAACAGATTAATAAGAACTGCTAATTAGGAAGAGAAATTTAAGGAGAAAATTTTGAGTACTTGTCAAAAGAAATTGATGGATTCGTCAAAGAATGACCTTATTAGAATTAGCCTCAGCGGTGTCTTCAGAGGCTCATTGGTTGATTGGCTGAATGTTAATGGCTAAACGATAAGTACCCGGTCAAGTCAACTACATTTAAATAACTCTCCTTATAGAGATTTTATTTTCAGATATATTAATTGAACCTAAACGCCCCGGTTTACGATCGTCTTCTTGTTCTCACTTCTAAACTCGTGTTAAACACTGTTTTGCTAAATCTGTTTTTGCTTTTTCTGGCCCTTTCTTCGGGAACTCCCTACCTCTTTCTCTGACTACTTCTCCATCACTTACGAAGTTCAGAGCGGATCTCATGACCCATCTGTTTGCAAAATTCATTGAAGAGCGCTGTTGAATATCGCGGAAATGGCACTTTATAAACTAATTGATTGATTGATTGATCGATTGAAAGTGTCATTAAAATTCATTGGTGATTTCCCATTACCTTTATTAGTTATATTCATATGGGATTTAAGATTATTTTTGATATTTAAAAATTAACATCCTCTATTGTTTACAAAATTACCAATTCAATGTGAAGGCTTGTTGGCTTATTCAGTCTTCAGCTGATGGTGTACCAAAAATAAAATGCCTGCTAGCTAGCTAAAGCATTTATTTAATGTATATAATGCATACATATAAATACTGACACATATATATTCACTTAAATATGTACATTTACATGCATGCTATGTATATATATGTATAATGTAAAAGCTTTAACGTGAGAACTTAGTAGATCACGCGTCAGTTGTTGTGTGAGTTCACGTTGGTCTGCATATGTTCGAAATTTTAAAAATAAAAGTAAAATTGGCGAAAGACAACTTTTAAGGACATCGAGAGGTCAAAGGTCGGTTTTTATTGTAACTGATACAACGTTTTGAATTTTAACAAAATTCCTCTTTATATATTAATTTCGAGTTCATTTCTGTACATGCTCCTACTTGTCTGATAGATATTTTTAAACAGTGGTGGTGTGGTTATGTTAGCTAAGTTAACCGACCTTACTTAGCTAGTGTGTGTTGCTGGTGGAGGGTTGGTTTTTTTTATAGATATTCGTGAAGGACGTTATTTGTTAACGTTGTTTACTAGTATATACATTTACATAGGATATCACGTCCCACGTTGCAAAACTTTGCTTTTTACTTCATTGTATTTTTATTTTAATTTAATTATCCACTATAAAATATAAATAAACCTTTTATTTACTTGACTAGATTTTATAAATGTTCCGTTACGCCTGGTTATTGAAACAAGCAAAGATTGCCAATCTCATAAACATACATGCAAGATTAAAGTCCACAGATGGTGATCGACAAAGAGTTTTGGCTATTAGGAGAGAGGACAGTTCAGAGTGGGAAAGGAGGGCCCCCCTGACTCCCAGTCATGTTTTCCAGCTGATCAAAGAAGGAGTGAAAGTTCTTGTCCAACCGTCCAACAGGAGAGCATATGCCATGCAGGTTTGTCAGTTTATATAAAAATAACACAACTAAATAAATAGAAAAATAACATAATTAAAATTTTCAAAAAGGATAATATTATATGAAAAAACATTTGTTTTATTTTAAGTATAAAATTTAAAGCTCTTTTTGGATTTGATCAAAATTATAAACAATGATGTCATTAAAGATTAAACATCACTAATTGTTTTTTATTGAAATTAAATTTATATGCATTAATCTATATTAATCTATATTAATATTTATATGCATTAATCTTAATTTATATTATTAATCATCAATATATTATTAATCTATAATATATAATTTATATGCATTAATCTATATTAATCTATATTAATATTTATATGCATTAATCTTAATTTATATTATTAATCATCAACCAGGAGTATGAGAATATGGGAGCTATGATAAAGGAAGATATTAGTGAAGCAGATGTGATCATCGGAGTCAAATTAGTTCCAATCGAACAACTCATTCCCGACAAAACATATGCCTTCTTTTCCCACACTATCAAGGCACAAGATGCCCAGATGCCTCTACTTGATAGCTTGTTGGACAAGGTTTGTTGTATACTTTATAGTTGTATAATTTGTATATTTTGAAACTTAATTTAGTTTTATTTTGTTTTGTATTTGTATATTTGTTAGTTGTTATGATTTTTCCATTTTAATTGTTGGTTTCTTTAATTTGAGTTAACCTTTGGTTATCTTATCATGCAGATTTTATTCATAAAGAAAATAAATCTAGGACTTTAAATGTAGTGAAAAGCTTGTAAAAATTTGTTTTGAATTTATTATAAAAATTTATTATTGCAAGAGTTTTGTTTTACTAAATTTTTTTCATCACCAGAGGATACGTTTAATTGACTATGAGAAGATGGTTGATGCCAAAAGTGGTAGAAGGATGGTGGCGTTTGGCAAGTATGCGGGAGTTGCAGGCATGATCAACATCCTACACGGATTGGGATTGAGGATGTTGGCTCTTGGGCATCACACTCCATTCATGGTTTGATAAATTTTTCAACATTATGATATTTTTTTCTCTCAAACATTCATGTGATTATCAAAATCTTGTGTTTTTCATCTAATCATTATGTTTGTCTTTTGAAGTGGCATATGTTTTCTTCAGTTAATGATATGCTTACCTATCAAACCATCCACTTAAATGCACAGCACATAGGACCAGCTCACAACTACAGAAACAGTTACGTGGCCCAAGCCGCCATCCGAGATGCTGGATATGAAATTGCACTTGGCATGATGCCAAAGTCTATGGGACCGTTGACGTTTGTCTTTACTGGATCAGGCAATGTTTCATTGGTAGGTCGGATGGTTGAAGATTTGTAATGCTGTAATGTAATTTGTTATGTAATTTGTAATGTAATGCTGTAATGTAATTTGTAATTTTCATGGTTTGATACTGATTTGGCATGTTTGTTTTGTAATTTTCAATTATTTTGAGATTATTTTTTATTCATAAATTTGTCATGTTTATAAATAGTTTTAAATTTTGTTTGGAAAAAAAATATTCGTTGGACTATCTACAGTTTCAAATTTGATTGAAGTTTTATGTATGGGTAAACCTAAACTTTAAACTTGTAAACTTAAAAGCTTTAAATAAAAAAACTTTTATTTTTGAGCTTTTATAACGATTTTTGAAACAGTAACAGTTGAGAAATTGGTCAAAATTTCATATTATCAAAAGCGCATAAAAGTTTAAACTTTACAATTAGATACATGTTTCATGAAAAGTAATTAACGTTGAAAGGGTGCTCAAGAGATGTTCAGGAACCTTCCACATGAGTATGTCAGTATTGAACATCTGCCAAAAGTGGCAAGGCATGGAAGTTAGTTTATCTGTCCGTCTATAAATAATTTTCATAATTTTATCCTATCTCATATGGAACAATAATTTTCATTTCACTTTCTAATTATTTTTTTATTTCTTTTTTCTGTTCACCATTTTTAAAAATTTCAGTTTTTTTTATAAAGAAATTTCAGTTGTGGATTTTGTGTTTTATGTAAAAGAATCATTCTAGTGGTTCGAATTCTCCACCAGTTTGATGAACTGGCGGCATTCATGGTAATCAAACTTTTAAACTTCATGGATCGACATTGATCTGTTGTGCCGAGCGATGTAATTAATAAAAAATAATTATAATAATATTTGTTCTACACATTTACAATGCAGACACAAACGTTGTGTACGCCTGTGTTGCTGACATGGAAGATAACCTGGTGAGGAAGTTGGATGGAGGATTTGATAGGGACGAGTACATCAAGTTCCCTGAAAGATATGCTTCAACGTTCAGCAAGAAGGTTAATATCTTCTGTGCATTTTTGTAATTAACTATTTCAATCAACATTTTGTTGACATTCATTATCACATGTTCATTTAGATGAAAAAAAATGTTTAATATAACTCCCCATAAAAGATTGCGCCATATGCCTCTGTCATCATCAACGGCATCTACTGGGCGCCTGGTGCTCCACGTCTCATCACCATTCCCGATGCAAAAAACCTCCTTCGTCACCCTGACACCCCCATCGTTGAGAAGAGCCCCGGCTGTCCACACCTCCCCCACAGGTTGCTGGCCATCTGCGACATATCTGCTGATCCTGGTGGCTCCATTCAGTTCATGAAGGAGTGCACAACAATCAACCATCCATTCCAGCTCTATGACGCTGAACAACACATTGAAAGGGAGAGGTAATCAATTCTCAAGTTGTTCCCAAAAAGTTTTATTTATTATAAACAGCACAGTTTTGTTATTTTTTTTGTTTTCCTGCTTAAGAGGATTGTGTAACTAACTAATTTTGGAATTCATATTTATCCATTCAATCAATACATTTAGTGTGTGTATTTCTTTCTTATCTTATTGTTCACTGTATATTCATGAAAGAAGGTGCTTCAATTTAATGTTAAAATGTTTATAAAACAGTTTCTCAGGAAATGGAGTGTTGATATGTTCAATAGATAACATGCCAGCTCAGCTGCCCAGAGAATCTTCTGAATTTTTCGGAGGTCTCCTCATGCCTTTTATACACGACATAGTTAGTTTCCGGTTGAATATTGTGTGATTGATTGATTGATTGTTAGAAGAGTGTGTATAAAGTTGGTTGGTTAGTTGTTTACCTGGTCTCTTTTCACAAGATTCTTTTTATTTTTAGGTACTCTCTGATGCCAAATCTCCATTTCATCAGTTCAATGCGGGCTCAGTTGTCAGGGATGTACGTAGTTTTGCTGCCTACCTTTTTCTATCATTCATTACTTTATGATTAATTTTAATTTATGTTTATGCCTGTATTTTGTTTTTCAATATACTTTTCATTTGCAGGCAGTCATAACATCTAATGGAGAACTGACTCCAAACTTCAAATACATCCAAGATCTTAGAGAACAAAAACTGTTTGTCCATTTAATTGTTTTTTTTATCAAACTCGTGTCGTTTGTAATTATACTTTATTTGTTGTTCAAACTGGTTTCAAAAATGGAAAATATGTGATTGCCACCAGGAAGAGAGCTGCCTTGACTCACGCTTACCAGGAGGCGAACAGGAAAGTGTTGTTGCTGGGAGCTGGTTATGTTTCCACTCCTGTTGTGGAGTACCTAACCAGGGACCCTAAGATTGAAGTCACCGTTTGTTAGTCCGGCTTTTCACTTTGCAGATTTTTTCATGTTAAAGTTAATTTTTGAAGTTTCCTGTTATGTAGATGATCACCTAACCTGTATGCTAAAATATCAAAATTAATTTTATTAACAGTTACGAAAATATTTCAATGATTTTTTGATGGTTGGATAGTTGTAAGGTTTTCTGCTTGAATGATTAAAAAATTGTTCACAAGGTTCGAATGTGAAATCGGAAGTGGACAAACTTGTGGCCAGCTACCCACGCACATCTCCAGCGTTGGCTGACATCATCAAATCGCCTGATGAACTGGAAAAGCTTGTGAAATCTCACGATCTTGTTATCAGGTCCTTAGGGTTGTCTGGTCAGATATGTCGTTATCATTTCATTTTGACTTATTTACTTTCATTGCTCATGTTCCTGTTGTCATCATCGAGATTCTCATTTTTATTTTTATTGCATTATTTTCATCATCTTTTTCGTCGTCATCATTTCAAATTTTAACACCATCTTTCAGTCTCCTTCCCTATCAGTTCCATCCTGATGTTGCAAAGTTGTGCATAGAACACCACAAGAACATGGTCACTGCAAGTTACAGGTCTCCTGCTATGGCTGATCTGCACAAAGCGTCAGTACTTCTGCTACTTCTGTCGTTACGTTGTTTTCATGACGTGGTTGGAGTTGTTGTTGTACAGTTGTTTTTGATGTTGTGTGTTTGTTGTGTTGTTGTTTTTGATGTTGTGTTTATATATTTTTATGTTGTTTTTCTTTTTATGATTGAATTTATGTATTTCGTTGGTTGAATTCAAGATTTATGACGAATGGATTGTTAGTGACAGTGAGGATGATGATGATGCTATTTGTGTTCAATATTTGAATTATTTATTATTACTCGTAACCTCCTAACTGAAATGCTGATGCAACTTCTCAAAAGTGCCGTGGAGGCTGGCATCACGGTTGTAAATGAAGTCGGCGTGGACCCAGGCATCGACCACATGCTGGCCATGGACAGCTTCGATGAAATCAAGGCTCACGGAGGGAAGGTGAGACGGTTTTTTTAATTTTCTAGTTTCGTTCTGTTTTATTTTCTATAAATTTGGTTGACTTTTCAGTTCTGTTTATCTTGTAAACGCTGAACAGGTGACGTCATTTGTGTCGTGGTGCGGAGGATTGCCTGCTCCTGAATGTTCCGGCAATCCGCTCAGATACAAGTTCAATTGGAGTCCCAGAGCCGTGCTGCTTAATGTCCTGAGCAGTGCCAAGTTCTTAAAGAATGGCAAGGTCGGTTGATGGATGTTCTGAAGCTGCAGATTGCTGCAATGTGATATTTAGTTTTTCACAACTTTCTTGAATATTGAACGTTATACCCTGTACATTGTATTTTTACTTTATATCTGAGCTGTTTTTTCAATTTGCATTATTCAAATCTCTCACGAACAGATTGTAGAAATTTCTGGAAACGGAAATTTATTGAAAGAAGGGCTGGTTAACTTGGATTTCCTACCTGGATTCAACTTGGAAGGCTTTCCAAACAGGGACTCCCTGTTGTACAGGGAGTTGTACAACATCGAAAACGTGCACACCATGTTGAGGGGTACAATCAGGTACAAGGGTTTTTCGAGGGCTGTTCTTGTTCTGCACAAGTTAGGCCTCATTGATCCCGAACCTAACTTGATGTTGAACCAGTCCTCAAAGGATATCACATGGGTGAGTTTTCACTGACGTGCTTTGCAGTTCTATATATTTTGTTGTTGGATTGCAGTATTTTTTATATATTTGCCAAAATATTTTATAATTAATTTCCTCAGTTTATAATTTCAGCTCAGTTTTTAACGTTTTATTTTGATTAAATATTTACACGTTCGAATTTGTAGAAAGAGTTTCTCTGCCACATTGTGGGTAAGAATCCAACAATACTGACTGACTCATTGAGGGATGCCCTGAGAGAATATGTGGACGACGAAATCACTGGAGCCGTGCTAGATGGGTCGGTTGCTCTGATGTTTTAACATTTTTCACAATTAGTTGAATGGCGGTTGCATTGATGGTGCCAGGTGTTAATATATTTCACCATTCATGAATATTTCCTTTACAGCTTGGGACTTCTTGATTGCGATCATTTGCTGGACAAGAAGAACACACCTCTTGATACTCTCTCCAGTTATCTGGCCAAGAAACTTGCATATGGTTCGATGGCTTTTTCATGTTCCCTTTCATATTTTATTTCACCTGGATTGTGGTAGCTAAAATAAAATTTCACTTGTTGCAACACTACTTTTTGTACACAAAACGATTTTTCTACATAACTTCTAAATGTAAAGAATGAAACAACTATCCTATATGAAGAGTTATAAAAAAAAACTTTCAACTCCCATGAAAAACTTATTAAAAATAACGATTTCCTACAGAGCCCGGTGAGAAAGATGTGCTGATAATGCGACACGACGTTGGCATACAGTGGCCTGACAAGAGTGAAGAAATGGAGCACATCAATTTCGTCATCTACGGCATGCCATACAAATATTCAGCCATGTCTGCAACTGTCGGATTCCCAACTGCCATTGCGGCCAAGATGGTTCTGCAAGGTTCGTTTCATGAAATGAATCGCTGGTGGTTGAACCCTTGTTCTACTGAGTTTTTTTTTTTTAAGATTTTCTTTTTAACGAAAGGAATTGGTTATTTCTGTGGTGCTGTTGATTGCAATGAAGTTTATAAAATCTAATTCCACTTTGCTTTTTGAATTGCGTAGTTACGATTAATCACAAGTCTTATGAGGTGAACGAATTTGAAATATGAATATACATCGGATTTCATCCCCGTGAAACTTAGGCGAGATCCAAGAGAAAGGAATGGTTCTGCCACTGTCGCCCGACATCTACCGACCGATCTTGAAACGTCTGCAGGCAGAGGGACTGGCATCGAGGGACTACAAGACCATCCTGAAGGAAAAGCCAAGCATGACCGACGAACATGCCAGATATTAGAGAGGAGGGGGTATCCAACAATCTACTAGGATCGTTCGTTCGCTGATTCTTGTATTCGTCTGTCTGTGGTTGGTTCCGTCTCATTTTCAGCGTCTGCTCTGTGCTGTTGTCACTTGAGAAGCAGCAACAGACATAATTAATAATGATAAAAATATCAATAATAATATTATTATTATTTATGATAGCTGACAATGGTATAATAATAATATAACAAATAATAATAAGAATATAATAATGATAATAATAATAATAATAATAATAATAATAATAATAATAATAATAATAATAGTAATATTAAATAATGATAACAAGTGAGTGATAATGATGACTTGACTGTTGAGATTAAATGTGGCCTTAATGTAAATTTATTGTTTTTAAAACTTAAATGAAGTTATTTTTTTTTGTTACTTCAGTTATTTACTGCCTATTTAAAGAACTGATACTGACAATATTGTGATCTGTACACAGACACACACAGACACACACACACACACACACACACACACACACACACACACACACACACACACACACACACACACACACACACACACACACACACACACACACACACACACACACACACACGCACACACACGCACGAACACACACTAAAACACACACACACAAATAATCATATTTATATATATATATATATATATATATTTTGGTAACAGACTG